ACCTACAAGCTGGCCCCCGAGCAGCCAGCATACGGCTGGCTCAGGGCTGGCTGTCAGGCAGCTCACACGGCAGCCTTCCCTTGGTGGGAGAACTCGCCTGCCTCCTCTCCTTCATCCAGCTACTGCTTTTCATGAAACTTGTAGGAGTTTAATGTCCTGGGAGCATCTGCTTCTCTGTCAAAACAGACTGAAACCGGTCCATGAGTTAAAGAATTATCGAGACAGGACTAAGGCAAACAGACAGCAGGATCTTTCGCAAAGTGGTGCGGAAAGCTGTTCAACAGACCCATGCAAACAGTGCTTCAATTAGATAGGAAAAGTCAACAGCCTGAACACACAGTGGAGAAACAACTTGCTAGACAGCAAATCTGCAGGAGTGGAGCCTGCCGATCGCGAGCCAAGCGCAAACAGTGCTGCGCTGTCACACGCACGCAGAAAATCAAACATCCGACGGGGATGTGTAAATGGGACGTAACCCACAAAGCAGGGGGGAAACCTCTACAGAGCCCCCCACGTGGGGCTCTGAGTACTCACGCCACAGGAGAGTCAGCTGGGGTCAGGGCAGCAAAGGGAAAAGCTGCACGAGGTCCAGAAAACATAACCCGCAAGGAAAGGCTGAGCTAGATGGAGCCAGCCAGTACAGACAGAGGTGGCTGAACAGGGAAACAAGAATGGTAGTCTTCAAACTTATGCAAAAAGTTCTTTTTCAAGGAGAAAGAGACTGAAGCACCTCCCATCTCCTCAGGATATAGGGCAGGCAGCTTTTCTAATTGTAAAAGAAGTGAAGGACTTGGACAGATCATCTAGAGGAGCTGTGGTGTCTCCAACCCTCCCTCTGGTCAAAGGAAGCAGGTTCATAAACATCTGCCATGATTTCCATATGGCTGCTTTTGTCTGAGGATGGTGCTTTGAGCGTCACCTTGATGCCTGACCTTATAACTCCATGGAACCACCTCCCACTTTGCACAATTAGGAGTTGAGTGGATACTTGACTTACAGGGACTGGACTGAAGTCTCCTTTCCTCTGATGCATCAGCAAGCCAGCTTTCAGGTAGCAGAGCTCCTCAGCCTTGAAGAGGTGACCCTGAGCTGCATCTCAGAGTGTAAAGGAGCTGCCCCACAAGCACAAACATGGCTTTTGTATTACATGGTACAACCTGGAGGCGTCTAATACCAGGTCCCAGCCATGCAGCTTCCTGACCCACAGACAGCCCAGGCACAGGGAGCTGGATGTTGTCTTCTCCTAGAGCTGCCCCAAAAAAGTAAGGAGCTGGAAAGTCTTTGTACACTCATCTCCAAAATGGCTTGGTGTCCACTTCCTCCTTCTGGGATCCAAGACTCCATGCGAGTCCCTTAGGGGGTCAACAGGATTCGTTTTTTGTGGATGGCTCTGGTACCCCGTTATGGACTTTCTTCAACCAGCCTTGCTCAGTCCTCATGTTCCTGTGGTGAAGACCCATTTCCTTTCAGAGCAGATGGTCTTTGGGCACAGGTGCTCTCAGAACGAGGGGACAGCAGCGCCTGAGAGCTTCCCCAGCAAACTGTGGGCAAAGGCAAGTACAATGTCTTAACTGGGACACCAATTTCTAGGTCTGCCGCTGGTTTTTAGCCTGCACACCACATAGATGTTGTCAAGTGACCTAAAGCGAGTAGCAATTCGATACTTTTGTGTCGCAGTGCAGAGAGCACTGTTTTTTCCCTTATACCTGTACAAGAATAACACCACCTCCATCCAGAGTGGGAGATGCATTCTGCAAGGAACTCAAATACACCGCAGTGAACAGAGTGCGAAATGGGTGGGTACCTAACCTAAGAGACAAGAACACCTGTTATGAAACTGCTATTTGCTTAGTAATGCAAAGCTGCTTCATTCCACTGAAAGTAAACACGCATGTTCAAGGATTCATTGCAAGAGCTACTACAAAACAATAAAAAGCCCCTCTGCAAGTACTCAGTCCTCCTCAGCTGTCCAGCTCCGCTCCTTCAAGTTACATCTGCCATTACAGACACGCTAAGTTTTCAGCCCCTTGCAGTTCCATCAGCTGGTTGCCTGTGATGTTGTGCTTCTTGCTTTTTCGGAATTGGGAGTACCAGCAGAAGCCAGCAAGGGCCAGAAGAAGGATCAGAACCAGCGGTAAGTATAGGATGAAGTTCAGCAGTGGTGGGGATGAGCAGATCCTAGACAAAACAGTTAACTCTGGAGGAAAAAAAGAAAAAAAAAAAATTAAGGCCCCAAGCTAGTTTGAGTTTCTCTCTCCTGCTGTTTCTATAGTTTATCTTATCACCACTTTTCCCTCAATCCTCAACACCTACCAATTTTTAAGAATTCATATAGGCTACCTGAGGAGAAGGGGGATAGAAACCAGGTAATTTTCCTCAATTTCTTGTTTTGTGAGGTCAGATAGGGCCCTGGCTCATTCAGCTGAGACATCCCAACAGAAACAGCACAGCTCTTCAGCTAACCCATTCCAGAGTGGGCTCAGTAAGGAAAAGCCACATACCCTCCACTCCCTGGGTCCCTGCCCAACACCAGTGACAGCAGGGTGAGGTAGAGGACTGTCAGATGCTGCACCACTGAACAAGGAGGGACAAGAGGAAAGCAAACCAAACCAGGTGAAGAAAGTCCCTGTCTCTCCCAGATACCTGCCCCTTCTTGCTTCTGCTGCTCTGCTATCTTATTTCAGCCACACTGAGCTGCAGGCAGCTGCAAGCCCCATAACCATCAGCTCCTGCAGAACAGCCCCTCAGTTGAGGTGGAGGCTGCCTGTACTGCTGGTGGACCCTCTGGGTACTTCAAAAAACCACGTTTGATCAGTCCCATGCTAGCTGAGCAGGTCTCAGTTGCAGCCTCTCCACTTTTGTCCTGGGCTCTTTATGGCCACCCATTAATCCCGGTCACTAAAATCTCCTCACTTGCCACATAGCTTCAACACCACAGACTGAACTCAGACACATCCAGCCTACCACAAAGGGTCATGCCAACTCCTTTGGCTGTGTTCTATCCATCTCAAAGTGCTGTTCCTCAGTTCTCCTCCTTACCCAAGACCCATGTGCAGATGTTTTACGCTTGCTGTGCAGAACCATGCTGAGCATGCAGGTCTGCTGATTTAAAGCTGTGCTTGGGGGACCCACACAGCCTGGTGGGCTAGGTGTGACCCTAGGGATACACCAAGCTAGAGGCTTCTCCTGGCTGTGAAACTAGCATTTACCTCTCTACATCTGAAGCTCTGTGCCCCATCCATGTAGATGGAAGCAGCATCTATTCTCCCATAGGAAAACAGGGAGAAGTCTCCACTACATGAATGCCTCTATAGTACTAGGGAGGTATCCTAAAAGGCAGCATCAGGGATTAGGGCTGAAGTTACTCCTGATTACAGGTATACTTGCACATAGCTGGGTTGTTACCCTCTGAAAACTCCAAAACTTTGACATTTGTGAGCCAGAGGGGCACTTCAAGATACCTGCACCACTGGAGAAACACGCACACACAAAAGAAAAAAAGAGAGAAAGAAAAAATACCCAGCTCATCTCTTGGATTTTGTGAAAACCACGAAAACCTCTTGGCAAAGACACTTGTACAAAAACTGGAGCAGAATTTTCCAGCAGTTACTGAGCAATTTTAGCAGTGGTTACTCCACCAGTAATGTGTAACAAGAGACAGAGGGAGCGATGAAGGCAAAATCCGAGTGCTAGAAGGAGCGTGATGGACAACAGCAGGAAGGTAACAGCAGGGGGATGAAGCCCTGTCAAGTCCCTCCCTGTGCAATTAAACCCATCTTAGTTCTGCTGTAGGTGCAGAGCCATGTGAGTAGGCTCTGTGCCAGCCTGTGCTAGCAGCAGGCACAAGGAGGGCTCTACAGGGTCCCCTGAGCTCTTCCACGTTGGTCAGCATTGGTGATTGCTGCAGAAGCTATAACCACGTGTACACACCCAGGCTGGCTTTGGGCACAGCAATTCCAACGCTGAAGCCATGAGAACTGCAAGCTGGGTGCAACATGGCTGATTTCATATTTTTTCTTCCACGTGGGTCATGCAAGACTCTATTTCCCCAAAGAGGCAGCAAGAGAATACTTTGTTCCTGCCCGTTACCTCCCTAAAAACACTCTGTGAGCCTGGCTGAAACCTTTGCTTTTATTTATTCAAAATTCTGTGTGCAGAATCCAGTTCTATCTTTGCACCTGCCATGCACCCCAACTCGCCCCAAGAGGACAGAGACTGTTTTTAGAGACCTCACTGGAGATGGACTTGTCAGAAAAATCACACCAATAATTTTTTCCCCCCAAACAGTTAGCGTTCTGGCCCCAAAGGCATGACTGAAAGCAGGGGTTTGTGCCCATGGTCCCATAGAGACCACAAGCTACAAAGCACTGCAGACACAAGTGCACCTTACAGTACCCTCTTGGACCACATGCCTCTCAGCTGGAGCTCTTGGTATTGCATCTGACCACCACCTCCAACATTTACAATGCTGAGCACCTGGGTTTCTCAGCCCTGGCTCATCAATGGGACCAGGAATGGGATCTCATTGCCTCTCCTACCAGGCCCACAGCACTGTGTCCCTCAAAGGGCTCCCCCTCCCTCCCCAGCTCCCAACACAACTCTGGCAATCTCCCCAGCACTGGCCCCCTCTGCAATCCTTTTTCAAGCCCTCCCAGCCCTGCTGCATCCTTGCCATCGCAGCCAGCATCGCCAGCA